CAGCAGGAGAATGCGTCCAACATGCTCTTCGTCCCAACCTGAGGGACTTCTCAGCCTTTTGCTGAAGCTCAACACAAACACTCTGCTGTGTGCACTGAGTGATTTGAACCCAATTTCAATTAAACCTTCCCCCGTGCTGTTTGCACCCAGGGATCTGCAGATCTCTTTAAGGAGGGAACCTGGTGGCACCCCATGGGCTCAGACCTGCACCCCGTGGGCTCAGACCGGCACCCCAGAGCTCAGCCTGCCTGCGGTGAGGGGGAACATCTCCTGTGTGGCGAGAGCCCCTTGTTTAAATGCAGCTGGTGTTCTTGTTTGGAGGATGTTGACATAAAGCAGCTTTGCAAAGCACCACACTTGGAGCATCTGTGTGCAGAGCTGGCACTTAACCTCAGCATCGTGTTCTCTCTTGTTCTCCCTCATACATGCAGCACGTGTCTGTAGATTGATCTGGGGGATTAAGCCTGGTGACACTGGCTAGAACCATGTCCTTAGGTCTTTGCAGTTGTTTTAAAGCAAGAAGTGGTCCTTGCCATCGTCGACCCCTCGTGCTTGCTTGGTCACAAGCTCACAAGGTCTGATTTTTGACCACCTCACATACGTGCACTGTGCTTGGCTTTTCAGCATCCCTTTGTCAGCAAGGTGACCAGCAACCGGGCTCTGCGTGAACTGGTGGCTGAGGCCAAGGCTGAGGTGATGGAAGAGATTGAGGACAGTCGGGATGAAGCGGAAGAAGATGACTCATCGGAGTCTGCCTCGGTGAGCGCTCCTGACTCCATGCTGGCAAGTTTGGCAGGGTGGCTCTGGTGGGGGAAAGAGCCCAGCAACTCTTCTAGGCTCCAGAAGGCGGGTTTATAGCTGTGCTGGGCTCCATCAGGTGTAGGGGGAAGCGGTTGCTTGGCCAGGGAGGGACTGGTTTTTGGTGGCTGTCAAGGGTATGGAGAAACAGTGATGCTGGTGAGTGGCCCAGCTGCCTGCTCACAGGAGGGGCTTGCAAATAGTGTTTAAAAGAAAAAAAAAAAAAAAGGGGGGAACAAAAAGTGAAAAGTAGACCCTGGTACCTGGAGAAGCTGGAGTGGAAGCAGTGCCAGCAGCGCATGGAGCAGCAGTGAGGCACCACCAGCCCTAGGAGGGAGCTGGGCAAATCTGCCCCAGGGCTGGGATCTTTGAAGGGGACATCTTAAGGCTGTCTGGGCAGCTTTGCTGGGGAACATGCCTTGCCCTCCCTCATCTGTGGCAAAGGACAGTAATTAATCCATGGTTGATTTAGCCATGGGAAAAGGTGTTCAATATGCAAACTCCTAGGCTGCCTTTTAAGAATTTACAGGTTCTGCAGCATCCCCACTGTGCTGTTTCCTGACAATTAGTGTCCATAGTCCTTGGGACCACAAACCTGAAGACAGAAGTTTCCCAGGGTGGATGTCCTAAAGGGGAAGTAACTTTCCTCCCAGTAACTCTTTAGCTGTGGGTGACTTTGCTCTGAAGCAGGGGGACTTGCAGCTCTTGCATTTCTGTTAAAGTGGTGGTGCAAAACCCAACACCTTCTTTTCTCTGTCTTTCCAGCCCCCCGGTAAGCACAAGCGGGACCCCTCTGAGGCGAGTCAGCTGAGTTTTGATGGGGAGAAGCCTCTGGACTCTTCCTTGCCCAAGGCAGTGAATGGGCCTGTGGGCACTGTCAAGGAGACCACAGGTGGACAGAGTGATAAAGTCTCAGGTGAAGGGATAAGCAGTGACAATGACAAACTGGAGAGCAACCACTCCACAAAAAACCTTGCAAGCTCTACCATCACAGCCACCCAGGGCAAGCCAGACATCATCTTGCAGCCTGAGCGGCTGGGTAACTCAACGGAGCGGGACAAGCAGCCTCAGCCAGGCAGCAAGGAGCGGAAGAGCATCGGGGAGCGACCAGAGAGTAGCAACCTGGAGAACTTCACAGAGGAGAAGCTTGCCAATGGGAGCTTGGATCCCCCAGCTCCGTTCTCCAGCAGCCGGTCCAAAGGGGATTCAGATTCTGGCAGCACTTCGGCCTCTGAAAGCATGGACCTTACCATCTCCCTGTCTGCTGACTTGTCCCTCAACAGAGAGAGTGGGTCCATCTCTCTGAAGGTGAGAGTAATGGGCAGAGGGTGTGGAAATGGCAGGACAGCAAATCCCCTGTTAAAAGTGTTGAGGTTTTTTCTCCCTTTTTAGCCAAGTTCCTGAAACTCAGATCCTTCCCTTGAGAGGCTGTGCGCTTGCACACTTCAGCCATAGCCCCTTGGACTCCTTCCTGAGAAAGCAGCATGCTGTACTCTAGATGGAGTTGGTCTTTGACTACAGGAGGAGAAAGTGAGTTGCCCCTTGTCTGCCCTGTGCCTGAAGGTGGGGAGCAGGTAAAGCAGGAGAGGACAGAGGCTGGATGAAGATAGGGGGTCTGGGAATCTTGCTTTAGCACGATGCTGAAGACCACCCAGGTGCCACCCCAGTATTTAGTGAGATAGCTGGAAAGGCTGGATGTGACACTTGTGATGTGAGCGTCCAGGCTTGGAGCTCTGCAAACAAATACAGGGCCAGCAAGGAGGGACGAAGCCCATCTCTAGGCAAAGCCTTTGCTGGTTTGTTTTCCCTGTCTGTGGGACACCTGTCACAGGTGGGCTTAGGGCAGCAGAGCACCTGCTGATGGGTGCAGCTGTGCCATGGGCATGTGGCGTGTCCTCAGGTGAAGAAGCTCTTGATGGAGCTAGCTGCTGTAGGTGCATGTGTCCTCTGCTGTCCCAGGCCACTGAAATCTAATGGAAGTGTGTTTTGTAGCTGTGAAGCATGGAATAACCATGCCGCTCACCTGATTTGTGTAGTCATACGCAGTCAGAGCACGGACAAGTATGAAACCCAAAATGTGATTTCCTTACTTCATCCACTGCCCATCACTCCACTGCTCTTTCCTAGAATACCAAGCCCCAGGCAAAATTAATCTGGGCTGGTGCCTCTCAGTTTTTCCAACCTGCCATACATCTGGCCTGGTTTGTGTCAGCAGTGACTTGCACGAAGACCTCCCAGGCTTCTTGGCCTTTTGCTAAAGCTTTCTGGAGGCTGGGAGTGCTTGTGAGCCAGAGCTAGCCAGGTCAGCGTGGCTTAGAGGAAGAGGCAAAATAACTGGAATGATATTTGCTGAGCTTCAGAAGATGATGTGTGTGTGACTTGAGGGGGCAGAGTGATGTGTTGCACAAGATCTTTATCCAATTGCCTGCGTGAATGATAGCTTCCCGGCAGAGAAACGTGCCTGAAAACCGTTCTCAGCAAAACTTTCCTCCCCTCCCGTCTCCTGCTGTGAGCATGAGAGCCAGCATCCCCCACAGGAGCCCACGATCAGTGTGAATCCCTAGTGAGGGAAGTGTGCTGCCCTTGCATAGCAATTTACCCCTCCTCGTTGCCCTTCCTCCAACACCTGGTCTCCTTGAGGCCAGCCAAAGATTAACATGATGCCACACGTATAGTTGCTCTCCCCATTTGGTCCCCTAGAAGGGGAAATGAGTTTTTTGGGTTTTACAGGGAGTAAGTCTCAAGGAGATGGTCATGTTGGATCATGGTTTGAATTGCCCCAGCTAGAGGTAATGCTCTGAACAAACTAAATGACATCTCTCCAAGCAAGCCGTTCAAGCAAAGCTGTTCTCCAGGAGTGATGCTGCTGGAGGGCCCTGGGAAAGATGCTTTGCTAAAGCATCTGCTTTGCATAATGAGCTGTGAGTGCATGGGGGGTACCAGGCTGTGCTGCTCCCTCCTCTCCCAGGCTCCTTGCCCAGCCTTAGCTTCAGGGGCTTTAACTCCCCTGCTCTGCCCTTGCTCATGTTCCCAGTGCTGCTGGGTTTTGTGCACAGAGTGCCAGGCAGGTTGCAGCAAGAGAAGGGGTAGCAAAGAGTTAAACCATTTCAGGTTGTAAACATTAACTATGACATGCTTTTTATTACAGGTTAAACTGCAAAGTTAAGGTGACTCTTATTACCAAACTCTTTTTCCAGTTGCTTATAGTTTAGTTTAAAAAAAAAAAAAAAAAAAAGTTTTGGCAAAAAGTATCCAGGGGATTTTGGGGGGGTGGGGGGCGGGTTGGGTCTTTTTTAGAAAGATTAGGGTTAAGAAATCTATGGGTGAGTTTGGGAGGCTGCAGCTGGCAGAGAAGAGAGTCAGAAATAGGCAGAAGGAGGTGGATAGGGTTTGGAAAAGGTAAACCAAACTTTCTCAGATAAAACTGTTTCTGAAGGGATCTCCTTCTTTTGTGTATCTAGCTTGAATTTCTGAAGCCTGAAAATGCAGGAGTTTTAGCCAGCTGTTGTAATTCATTTTAGGGCAGTAAGAGCCTTCATGACCTAAGCTGGTCTCATGCAAACATTTTTGCACTAATTTCTCTGTGTTGATTGAACCACTACCATAGTGGTATGTTGTTACACAGTGAGCAAGTTGCATGCCCTTGGAGTTTCTCCTGCTCCTCCATTGCAGCCCTCTCCAGGGGCTTGCTTTGGGCCTTGCAGGCTCATGTGAAGCTCTTCTGCCACCTTCTATATCTGTAATGGTCATCACTGTAAGAGCAAGAGGACTTCAAGGAGCCTTTGCTAATTCCACCACTGTGTTTTCCCTGTAAGGCTGCATGATTCAAGTCGTTAAGTCAGTCATATACTTTTTTTTTTTTTCCTCCAGAGAAGCTGAGTCCCTGGATGTGGTCCTTCAGCCAGGCTTGGGGGAGGATGCAGGGTGATGCTGACCTGCTGTGGCACTGCTGGGAGAGGACACAGTGCTCCTGGCACTTGTCCCTGCCTGTGCTAATGAAAGTGAGCCTGGACTGTGCTTTGTGGAGGTCACTGTAAGGGCCCTGGAGCTGGATGTGATTAGTGAAGTATTGTAATGAGGGCCAGAGGGACATGAGTGTTAAGCCTTTGGGCAGGGCTGGCTTCTTTCCCTGTGGCTCCATCTGTAATCACAGCCTGATGTGGGGACCCTGCCTGCCTCACACCTGCAACAGTGTGAAGGGAGATCTGTGGGTCAGATGGCCCAGGAGCCTTAAAAAGAACCGTAGCAAGCTATTGCAAGCTGCTTCTTGTGTGGATTCCTTGGCACTGCAATTCAGGGGGGGTATGCTTTAGTTGGACACAGCGAGGAAGGGTTTTCAGGTGGTGGGTTGCCTCTCCTCCAGGTCAGGTTTATCCAGGGTGGAAATCACACTGTACTGCAGCATGGTAGCAAGGCCAAATCTGCTTATGATTTTTGCTCAGTGTGGTTTCATTACTTATGTTCTTCATTAACAATGACATTAAAATTGCTCTAAGGCTTCCAGCTGTAGCACCCTGTGCAACAAGCTGGAGAGCTGCTTCATGGCCTCCTCCTTTCCTCCCCTGCCGAACTCAGGATTCCCGGATGCACAAGAAGACGCTGAAGCGCACCCGCAAGTTTGTGGTGGATGGAGTAGAGGTGAGTGTCACCACCTCGAAGATAATCAGTGAGGACGAGAAGAAGGATGAAGAGATGAGATTTCTCAGGCAAGTGGGTCACAGGGATGGAGGGAGGGCAGGGCACCAAGTCAGGGCAGGCTTTTCTTCTCCACAAGCAAATCCGGCAGCAACCTGAAGTAATCTCATTTTCTGTCTTGGTCCACTTGGACAGGACAGTTGTCCAGTGTGGACCTCACTTTTTTGCCTTTGTTTGGCTGGCAGAGGGCTTGCTGTACTGCATAAACTGAGCTCTGCATGCAGGGGAACAAGGGATAAGATGCAGAAAGGCTGTGGTGAGGGAAGCTTGTGCTGTGGCTGGCTCTGTACTCTGGGGATAACTGAATGTGTCTCCAGGGCTGTAGATGTGCTAGTTCAGTGGAAATAAGCGCAGAAATCTTCTCAAGATGCTCCTCTTCCTTTTGTTCTTGTATCTCCTCAGACTTCATTAACAGAAAGGCCAAGGGAGTTGTAAACTCCTTGAGCATCACTTAATATTCATGGGTGTATCCTCCCAGCGTAAGCCTTGATGACTTCTTCGCAGATCTTACAGCTTTCAAACCTCCATGACCTATTCTCAGGAAAAGAAACTGGTTTTTAGCTCTGTTACTATCAGTAGCAGCACTGAAATGAAAAGGCCCTTAAAATAATTAAAATACAAATTGTTTTGCTTGATGCCCTATTCTAGGCTCCTTTGTGCTGCTCTGAGGGACTACGTGAGAATGTAACCTGTCCCAAGCACTGTGTGTCCCTGTGGCAGCCTTATTCCTAGGCCCTAATAACAGATCTATGGAGAGCCTCACTAGCCGCTCATTTTTGTGCGAGAAGTGCATGTAATCCCAATAAAACATGGGGAGCATGCCTGCCAGCATACAGGGAATTTGCAGGCATGGCTGATTTCTCCTGGTCCACTGTCAGCTGTGGTGCATCCCTGAAAAGAGGCTCCTTTTTAATTTTTATATAGTGCCTGCTCCATCTTTGGGATGGGGGAAGAGACAGATGCTTGGGTTGGAAAGCACCCAGTCCCCAAACACTTTTTGGGAGAAGTGGTTATTCCCCTGGGGCTATCTAGCAAGTGCCATCAACTCTCCTGGTATCTTGATTTGCACTTAAGGGGCTTGTTTCTGGCTTTTTGGAACATGCCAAGGTATTGATTTGAAGGCAAGATCAGGAGAGAGCACATCATATTGTGGTAGTTGATTTAATGGGACTTGAGTTTGTTTAGAAAGAAGAAATTGTTCCAAAGTGCTTTTCCCAGAAGGGTCCCCAGAGGGGGTTGTACTTGGTGTGCAAGGCTGATGCACAGCAGCGGGGGTCCTGTTGGAGATCCTGCGTGGGGAAACTGCTGCTGCTCTTTCTTTTGCATGGTACATCAGTGACTTCCAGCTCAACTGGGCATCAGCATGGTAAACAGGTTCAAACACAACCATCTGAGCAGCGGCTTCCTTTTCCTGGATGTGAAGCTGGATGAGGGGAGTGATGCAATGTCTTGGTAGGTAGGTCAGAATTTGGGAAAACTGCCCTTTCTGCCACCCGGGGGTGAGCAAGAAGGGATGCGGAGCACAGGGGCTGGGCCAGAGCAGCACGAGCTTGGCCTCAGCTGTGTTTTGAAGACCAGTGTGCACTAACCCACCTGGCAGAATGGGTGTTTTGGGTGCTGGCCAGGGGAGTGGTGCCTGCAGAAGAACCTTAGGAGTTTTGACAGGGCTTGTTTGAGAAGCTGTGAATGCTAACAGGTGTTACCTGTGAACACTGATGGTTTTCCAACAGTTACCATAATTAGCAACCTGCTTCCTCCAAGTGCTCTGGTGTCCCAGAGCCCGAGCATGCATCAGCCAGTTGGCATTTGTCTCCTACCTGTGCTGAGAGCAAGTGTCAGGGTGCTACAGAATGGCTGCTTTCATTCCTCAACAGTGTGCTCTGGTTATTGATTCTGCCGTCTCTACTCAAGCACATGCCTCTGAACTTGTCTGACTCTGTATTTCTCTCTCTCCTTCCATTTTAAACCTCTGCAGGCGCCAGGAGCTGCGGGAGCTGCGTCTCCTTCAGAAGGAGGAGCACCGAAACCAGGCCCAGCTCAACAGCAAACACCAGCTGCAGCTGGAGCAGATGCTCAGGCGCTTCGAGCAAGAAATGACGGTACGTGGGGCAGGGAAGGGGAAGCTCCTGGGCATCAGCTGCTTTGACTTCTCTGCAGATGCCTGGCAAACCCTTGTGCAGGGTGATGCTCTCTGGGTTGCAGCAGTCCTGGGGCATCGTGTCTGGAGGGAGGACAGCCAAGAAATCCCTTTGTGATTCAAGGGATGGGATATGCTTGTGGAGGACAGAGGTTTTTGTGGGCATTAAGGACGTGCAGCCTGCAGCATGGGAAGCACTGACTGCAATCACCGGGCATGGTGTAGCATGGGAAGGGTTGTTCCGGACTTTCCCTCTTTAATGATCTCTTCTTGTATGTCTGGTCATGGCTACTGTGACAAACAGTCTACAGTGCTGTTGTATTTCACAGAAAAAAGCCCTTGAAATAAGAAATCAGTGTGGCCAGGGTGAGAGCAGGAAAACTGGCGAGTCTTTGAGTGTAAATTGAATAAAGATAAACTGGGCTTATATACTTAGTCCCTCCACGGGCAGCTTATGTTGAAGTAAAATGATTTTGTAGATAAGTCTCTTTAAAGCTTTCATGAGCCGTCTTTTAAGTACCTCTGTATTAATTCACCCAGCATGTGTGCCTGGTAAGCCCATCCCCTTGCAGCAGGCTGGGAGCCATCACTCATTCACGTGTTCTGTTAGATTTCTAAAGTCTTGATGTGCCATGTCTGTGAATTTCCATCCTAGCAAGTCACTTCTTGTTTGTGAGATTTATTCACTGTACAGTGCGATGTGCAAAAGCCCCAAACTTGCTTCCTTTACCCTTTCCCTGGGGCAGTTTTCAACCCACTCCCATTGACACCAGAGTGCTCCATCCCTGCAGCTCGCAGGGAGCTTGAGATCAGACACGAGGGCGCTTTCAGAGCACAGTGCTCTCAAACTTGGAAATCCTTGTCTGCAGAGAAAGAACTGTTATGCTTGAGCTTCACTGCTTGCTATTTGCCCAGGACCATGGGTGCAGATGTTGCCAATCAGGACATAAGCACAAGAAAGGCTTGAAGTGCATCAGTGCGACAATGAGTTAAAAATGCTTTGTGCTCTTGCTAGAGCTGGCTCTGCCCTGTGTGCTTCATGGAGTATTATTTGGAAATTTTTGGAAACTTGTCTCCTCTGTGTTTAGTGAAGAGGCTGGACAACCCTCTGCCCTTCCCCCCCCCCTTTTTTTTTTTAAGCTTTTGGAAGGAAACAAAGCAGAGAGGAGGCTGAGGTTGACTACTGTTCCCTTCCCATACAGACAAAGAAGAAGTTCTATGACACTGAACTGGAAAACCTCGAACGGCAGCAGAAGCAGCAGATTGAGAAGATGGAACAAGATCACTCGCTGCGTCGGCGGGAGGAGGCCAAGCGCATTCGCCTGGAGCAGGAGCGGGATCATGTCAAATTCACGGAGCAGTTGAAGCAGATGAAGAAGGAGGTAAAAATAGGGATAGGATGGAGGAAAGCTGGTTGTCTGCATCTCTTTCTTCCAGGAAAGCTTCAGCATTTCTCCATAGCAGAACTTGAGAAGGGAAGCAGTTGTTGGTGTTTTAGCAGGAAGCTCTTGCTTTTTCTTGCTTTTCTTTCCTATATTTGGGTGTTTCATGAGGTCCAGCTGTTTAGTGGCATCAGATGGGGTTGTTCTTGGCCTAAAATTACCTGCTGATAAATCTCATTTCATACCCCAAAGGTTAAGAACGAGATTGAGAAGCTACCACGGCAGCAGCGTAAAGGGAACATGAAGGTGAAGATGGATGACTTTGCCCAGAAAAAACAAACCATGGTAAGGCTGACAAAAGGCTGCCACAAGTCCAAGGTTGGGAAATGCATAGTAGACAGAAGCATCCTTCCTCCTTGTGGGACTGGCAGTTTCTAAAACACCACCAGATGCTTTTCAAGTTGCAGCAGCAGGAGGGCTCATGGTGGTACTGCCATTTTCTTCCAGGAACAGGAGTTTTTGGCCAAGCAGAAGGAGGACCTGGAGCTAGCCATGAAGAATATAACCTCCCAGAACAAAAAAGAGATCTGCGACAAGGAACGCGAGTGCCTGAACAAAAAGCAGCAGCTCATGAGAGGTGGGTGGCAAAGGTTGTAAAGGAGGAAAGCAAATGCTGTAACGATGGGTTTATCCAACGCTGGCTCTTCCCACGCAACAGATGCTGTGACAGAGTTGCAAGCTGGCAGGATAAGATTTAGAAAAAACAGCCTTGCCAGATCCTGTCTAAATGTTTAACAATAATAATACTTAGCACTTTAATCTTCAAAGCGCTTTACAAATACAAACCAATTAGGCTTCATAATTGCAAGAAATTATTCTCCAATATGGTTTGCAACCAATTTATCTTGGAAAACAGGAGGTGAATGATCACCCTTCACATCTGCTGCACTGCTCCTGCATGTAGGGATTGCTTGTGGTTGGGATGATTTGTGTCACCAAGCTGGAGGGCCAGGGTGGGTTGTCTCCTGACCCTTCTCCCTTCCTCAGACCGGGAGGCATGCATCTGGGATCTCGAAGAGCATCAGCAACAGGAGAAACATCAGCTTGTCAAGCAGCAGCTAAAGGACCAGTATTTCCTCCAGAGGCATGAGTTGCTCCGGAAGCATGAGAAGGTGAAGAGTTAGCACCTTCCTATGCCGGTGCTGGTTGGCAGGGTTCCTGGGTGTCCCCAGAAGGGCTATTTTCCTTCCAATCTGTAAGTGGGTAAAGGTGGGTTAGGAGTTAAGGGACTTGGTCATTATTAGTGAAAAAAGACCAGAATAACAATCAGGTCAGCCTCCTTTCTTGGGAGATGAATTCTGTGCTGTGTGCTTTTAACATACAAGAAGCAGTTGTGAACTTTGGGGGCTTTTCTGGAAATCTCTCACTGTCCAGTACGTGGGATGGTGGATTGCCAGAGCAGTGAGTGAAGACTGGCATGTCTCACGGTCATTTCTGCTTCCTTACAGTCCCCTTCTCTGCTTTCAGAGCATGTTCAGTAGCTGCCCTCACCTCTTGTCCTCTTGGATCTGTCTGTCACCAGCTACCTCCGTGCAACTCCCAAATCTACTCTCCAGCTCTCTTCGGTCTCCTTAGCGTTTTCTTGTTGGCCTGAGGTCTCCTTCCTCCTCTGATACCCGTCCCTCTGCTGTTGCAGGAAAGGGAGCAAATGCAGCGATACAACCAGCGCATGTTAGAGCAGCTGAAAATTCGACAGCAGCAGGAGAAAGCCCGGCTCCCCAAAATCCAGCGGAGTGAAGGGAAGACACGCATGGCCATGTACAAGAAGAGCCTTCACATCCACTCCAGTGGAAGTGCAGCTGAGCAGCGGGAGAAGATAAAACAGGTCAGGTCTTGCAAAGGGCACCAGGGTTGAGGCTTGGCTTGGGGGTGAAGTGCTTTGCTGGGCTACTGACAGAGGGGAAGTCAGAAAAAGGCAGCTGTTCCCAGATTTCTAACCCACTGTAGGGAGCCAGAGATCTTCGCTTTTGTGGCATCTGGTTTTCAGCACTGCTTCCATTGTGACTAGTGTTGGGAAGCATTCTCAGGGCTTTTCTTTCTTTCTTTCCTATATAATAGTGCAAGCTGGTGCATCTCTTAACCAGCTTCAGAGATCAGAGCTACACACGCACCTGCTTTTCTCTCTTCCAGTTTGCTCAGCAGGAAGAGAAGAGGCAAAAAGCAGAGCGGCTGCACCAGCAGCAGAAGCACGAGACACAGATGAAGGACATGCAGGCCCAGTGCGAGAGCAACATGAATGAGCTCCAGCAGCTGCAGGTAGTGATCCCTCATGGCTTGGTCTCTCAGACCTGCCTGTGTGCTGTTTCTGCTCCAATGCAAGGAGCATGTTGTAAGAAGTGGCTGCAGAGGACTGTCAGTGAAGTCCCCTTGCTCGGCTTTAGGAGGTTTTTGTGGCCGTGTCTAAACTTGCCCTGGAGCTCAGAGCTCTGAATGCCTCTGGCTGATGCAAGTCCCGTTCAACCATAGGATTTAAGTCCCAGCTGCTTAATGAGTGTTCTATTTTTGTGATCTGTGTTTAGAATGAAAAGTGTCACCTCTTGATTGAGCATGAAACCCAGAAGCTTAAGTCCCTGGATGAGAACCACAACCAGCACATGAAGGAGTGGCGAGACAAACTGAGGCCACGGAAGAAGGTAGGGCTTCCTTGGCATGAGCAGGGTGCCCTGCTTGGCTGGTTGGAGGGGACAGTGTCTGTAGCTCCAGTACAATCTCAAATACAGCTCTTGTATGTTTTCCCTTCTGCTTAAGGCCCTGGAGGACGAGCTGAATCAGAAGAAGCGTGAGCAGGAGATGTTCTTCAAGCTGAGTGAGGAAGCAGATGGACAGACACCAGGATCCCCAACCAAACATGCCAAGTTTGTCCTGTTCAGCTCCACAGAGAGCTCATAACACACTGCAGCTGGCAGGCCACCAGCTGAAACTTGCTGCGTCCTCCTGGGCTGCAGGTGGGCAACTTGGACTTGGAAGATCCTCTTGACAGCCCTTTCTTACATCGCCCTCCTGTCCCCTTGCTCTGTCTGGGATGAACACAGCTTCTGTCCTGCACTGGGGGATGCTGACTGGAAGTTGTTGGTGGCTTTTCCAGGAGCTGGCCTGCTCAGCATGGCTCCAGGCTGGGAAGCTGGGCGGGACCCTTTGTGATTGTACTTGCACTGTTAGCTGGATGTGTCTCTTCTTACATGAGCCTGGTGCTCACTGGGCTTTTCAGCTCAGACTGAAGCAATAACTGCTCTGAACAGGATAAACAGGTGATGGCTTCTGCCCTCTGCGCAGGGGTTATCAGCCTCTCTGCTCTGTAAGGACTAGTCTGGGGCAGAGCAGCTTTGGCATTGTCTTGGCCGTAACCTTGGCCTTGTGTCCCTCAGCGCTTGCCTTAAATTTATTTCTATCTACTGTGACCCTTTTTTGGTCAAGGGAGAGACAGTGATTTGGATTTTTTTTTTTTCCTTTGAGGAGCGAGGATTGTTTTGGTTTTGTTTTTTTTTTCCTTTCCTCTTCCTCCCCACACAGACTATGCAGAAAGGGAACTGGCTGGACATCCTTCCAAAGATGCTTCTGCTCCTTTGTTTTCCGTGATTGCTGACACCACAGTCCCTCTAGCACCTAGCTAACACGATCTTATCAGAGGCTGGACTATGGCATAGTTACACTGTTCAGCTGGCTGCAGGCTTTTGGCTCTTAAAGAAAGTGTATGTGTATGTGCAGAGGGGGTTTGTCACGGTGCTCAGTCCTGCGGTGACACAGTGAGGTATCGGTCACAGTCATGTGCCTTCTAGTAAGGACAAGTGAGGGGCTGAAGGGTATTATTGTCAGAGCTCTTGTGATCACGTATGTGCTTGAGATTATTTTTTTTAATGCTGTATATGTGTGGGCCATGTGGGTCAGCCGGCCTGGCCACTCTGCAGTTCGAGTTGTGGGCTGCAAAGCATTGTTTGGAAGGAATAAAGGAATCTTGAAACAAAGGAGGCAAGGGAAGAGGAGATGCAAAGACAGGTCATGGTGGCTTGTTACTCTCAGCATCACTTTCTCCACTGATGTCTCATCTCCTTATGATGTGTCACAGTTTCTTGGATGATCCTCCTGGCTTTCAGCTTGGAGTCACGCTGCAGAGCAGCAGCAGGTCCAGCCCTCTGTACTTCCTGCTCCATGGTGATGCTTGGATGAGCTGCTAGGTAGGATGCAGAACACAGACCTGTGTAGAGGGTCAAAGACCTTGCTGGGCAACATCTTCTTTACACAACCAAAGGGTGTAAGGTAGCACTTGAGTTTTTTTTTTTTTCTCTGTTGATCTCTGGACAACATTGTTTGTTTCAGGCGTGCTTCCCTAGCAAGAAAAAAAATGTTTCTGCTTAAAAAAAAAAAAAAGTTATTTTTAAAATCTCATATGTTGATTTAGAGACATACTGGCATTTCAGAAAAAGGTGGTATGTGATGTACTACACTTCTCGGTACCTAGCTGAAGGAGTCAGCCCCCAGGTCTTTAACACCTCTTTATCTGAGGAGTGCATTTACTACCACTTTAGAGCTCATAATACATATTTATAAGCTTCTTGGAAACTAGAAAGATGATTTGGGTTATCCCAAGTTTCTTCTGACTCCACACCATTAATGTCTCTATTAATAAATACGGCCTAGATGGACATTTAAGGGCTGGGACCCTTTGCAAGCAGACTGCATAGCAGCTTTTCAGTAACTAGCCTGTCCTCCTAGGAAGACTGCCTGTCCCATTTCCAAAAGCACTGACTGTGCTTTTCAGATATGATACTGCCAGGTTGGGAGCTGATGTAAAATCAATGAATGAGGAGGGTTGTTCCTGAACCAGGACAATGTGCTGGTTTGAGCCTTTTAATTGCATTAGAAATGTCTTATAGCAGCCCCAGCGGTTTTGTTTCTGGTCCCATTCGGGTCAGGCTGGAGCTATTCTACGAAATGGTTGTTGTCACAGAAATCAGTACCTGGTGCCTGTCCTTCATGTGTTACATGTGACTTGCAGAAAGATGTCCTGCAGCATACTGTTCATAACATCCCTCCCCCTGCTGAAGGGCTTTGCCACCTCTCTGGCTGTGCCTCGCATCAGCTTGGGGAGTGTGAGCTGTCTGGATACTGCGCAGCCATGAGGAAGGAGACTACTTCTGGGGGCATTTAAAGAGCTGATGTGATGCCCCTTGGTAAATCGGTTGTCCAGCTTACTTGCAGCCTGGAGCTAGCAACCTAGTTTTGCTTTTGCTAACACGGGGTGGGAATGGTTCTGTCCCCTGCCCTTTCCCTATTCTCTGTTCCCTCTTTGGGTGTGCTGGGGTTCTAGTACCATGTCCCTCTCCTGGAAGAGGGCAGGGGAGCACATCTTCTGATTGTCATGTTTACAGGGTGGTTATTTTTTTCCCCCTTTCAAAAGAGGATGTTTTTGTTATTTCCTCTTCAGAAGTAACCATGAATAAACCCAGCTTGTTTTTGAGAGGGAATGGTATGCCATTTTTTAAAATGTGGCTTTGAATAAAAAGGGTTTTTTAAAATATTTTGTAAAGTGTCTGCAGTGGGGCCACCACTATGATGTAAATACCCTTCTAATAAAGTAACAGACTGAGAAACCTGGGCATGTGACTGATTTCCTGCATGATCACCAGCTGTGGCCTCAGACCAGCTTTGCTTCTAGCCTGGGTTTTGCTGACTTACAGAAACCTCCAGAGCCAGTTCTGACATGTGAACCTTGCAAGGCTGAACTTCCAGTTCTTTAAAATGGAGATAGTTGCTTCAGAAACACTTCTGCTCCATGCTCTGCAGCTCAGCGGTCTTTGCTGCGAAGCTGGAACTCTGGTAGACCTGAAGTGAAGCAGCAGCAGTTCCCTCAATGGCTTCGTTGTGTGTTACAATAGTGCTCGGGTGACCCTCCTTGGTGAAGAGGGAGTATTGCATCCTGTTGTCTGCAGAGTGCAAACCACTGTACATGGCTTTTTCTTCCTTTTTGATTAGCTTGCCTGGCTTCAGCAGAAGATCTCAAATAAATGCTTCAGCACCCTTGCTTTGTTGGGACAAGGAGGTCTCATGGATGCCTCCCTGTCTCCTCCCCACTCTGCCATGCTGCCCTTGGCTGAATAGTGCTTGGATCCTGAGGTTGCTTTATGAGGCCAAGATACAGATCACATCTTCTCCTCTCAGTGCATTTGGAGACCTCAGCTTACTCCTTTAGGTTCCTCAGAAGAGCTTCCACCACCTCAGTAACCACAGGGCCTATGTGGTCTTTGGTTTATTTATTATTTTTTTCATCCCTGGCTAATGCCAAGCCAGGACACACAGTGTGTGCAAGGGCAGCTTTGACATGAGCCCAGGGAGCTGGTGTAGCTTTCTCCTCATTTTTGGAAGATTCCTCCAGAGCCTGCCAACTTCTGCCTTGGGTTTCATGCTGGAAATGACCTTGCTAGCAGTATCCACCTTGGTTAGGTAATATTACAGGCTGTGAGTTCAGATGTGAGGTGCTGAAAGGGAGAGGGAGTTGTTACTGTAAGTTGTTGCTGCCCATTTAAAATCCCACCACCACTCTGGTGAGAGAAGGACAAGAGCAAAGAATGAGGGTGCCTGTCTCCTTGCTCTGCGAGATAGTAAGAAATGAAGTAGCTGAGGACACATAATTAACCATCTCCTTCATTTACATGTACCAGGACTGCACTGTCTCCTGGGACACACTAGTCAAAATTGGCCCCACTCAGTGTATCCCAATGAAGCAGAGGATCTCATGGGAATATTTAGCTTCATCTTCATGTCCTTGGCAGTGCCTGAGGGGAGCTTCAACCGTGAGGATACTTATATTTCTAAATATACATAGAAAGTACTGTGTATTCCAGAAATAACTGTTATCTACCATTCTGCCCTGGTGCAATGCTGAAAACAGAGCAAAAGGAAAAATCTTTCTTAGTTTTTTAAAACAGAGGTGACAGCCATGAAAAGTTACTGGTGCTGCAGCAGCTGTAGCATTCTCATCTCTCCTTATTACCTCTTCTGTGCTGGGCTCTGAGCTCCTCTGAGCTGCCCAAAGGCTTTTGCAGCATTTGTGCTATAATGGGGGTAATGAAACTCTCTAGGGGAAGAAAACGCAGGGCAGACGGGGACAGTCATGGAGTTGGGGCTTGTGCCTAGTTGCCTTTCTCCTATGCCCACATCTCCCTCTCTCATTGCAGGACAGGTGGAGGTGAGCACTGCTATAGGCATGTCCTTCAACAGTCATCTGCCCTCTGTTAAGCTAAGCGCTGTTGCGTGTTCTCCTGCTGCACTGGCCGCTGGTTTAATTCTCTAAATGCCAAACTCCCCAGGGCTTGAGCAAGCCCAGCCTCTCCAGAAGCTGGTGGCTCTGCCTTGCCGATGGGGTTTGTTGTTGCCCCTCTCCTGGGTGGGATGGAGCTGGGTAACAGGGACACATTGCCCTAGCACTCCACCTGCCCTCACAAGCACCCCCTGGGACTCCCCTGGGCCTGGTTTCCAGGCTTGCTGGGGTGATGTTTGCTCTTCTGTCTCTTGTTCACTAGGTGGCACACACACTGAGGCGGTGGCCCTGGGCTCCAGAGCCCGGCAGCTGCCTGCACAAGCGCAGAGCCGGGGCTGAGCTGTCCCATTGCACTGAAATGTTTGCTCGCTCTTTTTCCTGGGGTCCACATTTACTCTGGCCAGAGTAAATTTCACCAGATCTCTGCTTCGCATCGGTGCTTCAGTACTTTGTCTCCTGCTCCAGTGTTGTCCCCAGGAGTTTTTCAGGGTTACCCTGCCCAGTGGAGCCAGGCCAGCCTCCCCCATTCCAGGGCTGAGCATCCCCTCCATGGGGTCTGCGTCTCCCTGCTCCCGTACAAGATGGGTGCAATCTGCTGCCAGGCTGACTGTGATGGGTGGCATCCGCACCACACAGCTAGAACTTGCAATACTGGGGTCAAAGCAGTGGAAAATTGTTCCCAGTGGCAGCTAAGAATTGGTGCAATCCA